GGGGAAGGGGAAGGGGAAGGGGAAGGGGAAGGGGAAGAAGCCCGGCTGCCGCGCGGCGCCGGCGGGCCCGAGGCCGCGGAGGGCCCGCGCTTACTCCGGCGTGGGGTGCTCCGGGTCGTAGAAATCCCCCATGGTGGGTGGGCGGGCGCGGGGCTCCGCAAGTGCCCCCAGGCCGGGGAGGCCCCGCTCGCCCCGTCGGGGCTCCTCACATGGTCCGGCGGGGCCCCCCCGCCACCCGCGCCCAGCCCGGCCCGGCCCCGCCGCGATCCGCCCCGGCCGCCGGCTCCTCCTCCCGCGGCACCGCGCAGCGCCGGGAGCGCTCCGGGAGCGGCCGCCGGTGCCCGCCGCACGCCGGCATCGCGCCCGCCTGTGCCGCCGGCGGCCGCGGCCCCGCCGGCGATCCGCGCGGCACGCGGCGGGATCGCCGCCGAGAGCGCGGCGGGCACCGGGAGCCGCCGCGGGGCCACCGCCACTTCCTTGGGGACGTACTAGGATCGTTCCAGGGATCGCCGGGGCACGCCAGAATCAGCCGGGGTGGCACAGGGATCCCGCCGGGATCCAGGAAGGGGTCAGCGGGGCACACCGGGATCAGCCGCGGGACTGCCGGGATCTCCTCCAGGTCAGCCCTGCACCACCAGCATCTCCTCCAGGTCAGCCCTGCACCACCAACATCTCCTCCAGTTCAGCCTTGCACCATCAGGATCTCTTCAAGGTGAGCGCTGCACCAGCAGCATCTCCTCCAGGTCAGCACTGCCTCATCAGGATCTCCTCCAGGTCAGCCCTTGCACCACCAGGATCTCTTCAAGGTGAGCACTGCACCAGCAGCATCTCCTCCAGGTCAGCCCTGCATCACCAGGATCTCCTCCAGGTCAGCCCTTGCACCACCAGGATCTCCTCCAGGTCAGCCCTGCACCACCAGGATCTCCTCCAGGTCAGCCCTGCACCACCAGCATCTCCTCCAGGTCAGCCCTGCCCCACCAGGATCTCCTCCAGGTCAGCCCTTGCACCACCAGGATCTCCTCCAGGTCAGCCCTGCACCACCAGCATCTCCTCCAGGTCAGCCCTGCACCAACAGCATCTCCTCCAGGTCAGCCTTGCACCATCAGGATCTCTTCAAGGTGAGCGCTGCACCACCAGGATCTCCTCCAGGTCAGCCCTTGCACCACCAGCATCTCCTCCAGGTCAGCCCTTGCACCACCAGCATCTCCTCAGGATCATGCCTGGGTCACTCCCAGGATCAGCCATCGGATCACTAAAATCTCCCCAGGATCACCAGGGCCACACCAGGTTCGGCCACGCTATTCCCGGGATCTCAGCGGGATTCCCCTGGGGCCACACCAGGACTGGCTGCAGGATCTCCTTGGGATCACCCCTGGGATCCTCAGGATCTCACCAGGAGCAGGTGGGAGATCACTGGGGCCGCACCCAGATCAGCTGCAGGACTGTTGGGATCACTCAGGGACAGGCAGGAATTTACCAGGATCTCTCAGCATCACACTGGGAGCACCCCCAGGAGCACCCCCAGGATCACACCTGGACACCAGCACCCCTTGGCACCAGATCCCTGGGGCTGTTCCAGGCCCCATTTCCCCTAAAAATCACTAAACCCCCTCTTTTTCCTTTCACAGGGCATTTTCCATCTTCCCAGTCCCTGGGAGAACTCCTCCATGGAATGGTGCCGGAGCACTTCAGGAGACCCAGCTGCTTCAGGAATCCTCCAAACCACAGTTACAGCTTCCAACGTTGAGATTTCTGGGATTTTCCCAGATTTGGGGGAATGGTGTGGACAGGAAGGACCCACAGGGATAAAGTGGGAAGCAGAGGAGGGGTGGATATAGGGAAGGACACAGGAAGGTTTAGTTCCAGTCCTGTTGGAAGCATTTTCCTGGGAAATCCAGCCTGGCCTGAATTCCCAGCAGCTTTTGGAACCTCTGGGATCGGGTCATTACAAGGAAAAGGTGATTTCTGGGATGTTCTCCAATGCCCTCCCAGGGCCCAGGTGCTGTTTTGGGGCCAGAAGGAAGCTCCAACAGATCCAAGCAAACCGAGCACCGTGGATCCGTTCACTTTGCCAGTTCTCCATGGAACTGGGGCTGGCCTGGGGAAAATCTGGGATGCCTGAACTGGGGATGCTCCTGCCATGGCTGGTGCTGGTTTTGGCAGCTGGGGGCTGTTGGTTTGGGGCTTTCAGCATTCTCCCCTAGACCCCAAATCCCTCAGAGGGAGCTGGAGGGGCTCATCCTGGAGAAGAGGAGGCTCAGGGGGCACCTTGTGGCTCCTGCAATTCCCGGGAGGAAGGTTGGAGCCGGGAGGGGTGGGGCTCTGCTCCCAGGGAACAGGACAAGAGGGAACAGCCTCAAGGGCAGGTTCAGGTGGGATATTGGGAATGTTCCTCTTGGAAAAGGCTCTCCAGCCCTGGCCCAGCTGCGAGGGCAGGGCTGGAGTCCCCACTGCTGGAGGGATTTCAAAGCCCTGTGGACACGGGGACACGGTCAGGGTTGGTCTTGATAGTGCTGAGGAATGGTTGGACTTGACCTTGGAGGACTCTTCCAACCAAAACCATTCCGTGATTCCCCAGAAATGAATCTTTGTTTCATTCCCTTCTCCAGACAGATCCAACAGGCCAATCCATGACTTGTTGCTCCAATGGGAACAACAGGAGAGCCTGCTGCTCGAGCAGCAGGAAAGAGGGAGTCAGGAGCAGCCTGGGTTATCCACAGCAACCTTTGTGCTGTGATCCTGCCTTTTCCAGAGGCTCAGGAAAACAAGTGGTGCTGCTGGAACTGCCTGGCTCGTGTCCTGTCCAAACAGCGGCATCGATTCCCACTTAGAACTCCCTGCCTGCCCAAAGGTTGCGTGGTTCACTTTTCCTGCTGTTTATTTTTACAAATCGATGTTGGATGCGAGCAGGAGGCACTTCCTGAGGTGGCATTCCTTCGGGAATGCTGGGATCCAGGCTACGTGAGGGGCAGGAAGGACAGGGCTTTCTTCTTCCCAGCATCCGGGACCAGTCCGGGTTTCCTGTGGATTTTCCGGAGGGCCGCCATGGTCCTGTTGAAGGTTTGCTGGGAACAGGGAACACAAAGGGATCACACTGAGCTCAGAGCACAGTTCTCACCTTTAAAAGCTTTTTTCCTGAAAAATAAAACCAAATGCCTTCTCAGACTTTCCAAGTGGTGCTGGAAAGAGCTAGGAAAATCCCCATTATACCAGCATTGCTCTGCTGAGAGCAAATCCCAAGGAGGGGACAGGAATCCCTAGGAAGTTCTCCAAGGGCACTGAAAAGATGTTGAGATGTTTTCATGGAATCCCAGAATTATTTCAGTTGGACCTTAAGGCTTATCCCAATCCACCCCATTCCATGGACAGAGACAACTTCCACTGTCCCAGGCTGCTCCAGACCAAATCCAGCCTGGCTTTGGACACTCCAAGGAATCCAGGGGCAGCCACAGCTTCTCTGGGAACTCCATCCCAGCCCCTCCCCACCAGGAGTTCCTTCCCATATCCCACCCATCCCTGCCCTCTGGCACTGGGGACCATTCCCTGTGTCCTGTCCCTCCATCCCTTGTCCTTCTCCAGCTCTTTAGGCCCTGGAAGGGCTCCGAGTTCTCTCTGGAGCCTTCTCCAGGCTGAACATTCCCAGCTCTCTCTGGGTGAATTTGTTCTGACAGGGCTTGGAGCACCCTGGGATAGTGGAAGTTGTCCCTGCCCATGGCAGGGGCTGGATGATCTGAAGGTCTCTTCCATCCCAATCCATTCTGGGGTTCTCCCAGGCCCAGCTGGGGTTACCTTTTGATCTGTCTTCATCCTGGCCCTGTAGAAGGACACGGAGCCCGGGCAGTCCGGCAGCGCCGTCTCCTGCACCCGCTCAAACTTGTCCTGCACGTCTTCATCCTGCCAGGGAAAAGCATTCCCCACTCCATGTGCAAAACACACACCTGGAGACCTGGGACAAGGATCCCCTTTGCTGCAGCAAGCACCAACTCAGCCAGGAAAACCCTGAAAGTGAGAAGTTTCCCTTTCCACACCTCGGAGGAGCAGCTTTGGGCAAAAACCTGCAAGGGTTGGGATTTTCCCACAGGAAAAAATATTCCCAGCTCTCCCAGCCTGGCTCCAGCCCTGGGCCCTGCTCTGGGTCTCTCCAGCAGCTTCAAGTCCTTGTGCTGTTGGATCCAGGGCTGGGGCTGCTCTGCAGGTGGGGTCTCACCTCGGAGGTGCAGAATTCCCCCCTTGTGGTCACGCTTTTTTTAGATGCAAGAATTCTGGGAAATGGGAATTTAACAGAATTTCAGGATCAGAAAAGACCCAGATCCCCACAGTGGCTCATACCACAGGACTGGTACTGACCAGTGCCACAAGAGTTTGGCTGCAAACCTGTGATCCCACAGGCTGGGAATCCAAACATCCCTGCAGCCCCAGGCACTTTGCCCAGTTCCTGATATTCCACAGATGCCCAGGTGCTCAGTCACTGTCCTGATTTAGCCTCCAGACAGTGAAGGGAATGTGACAGCAGGACGTGGCTCCAGATATTCCCTTTGTGCCTCGTTCCTTCTCCTCCTTCTCCTTTTTCTCCTCCTCCTTCCACAGGCTCCCTCATTCCCTCACCACACCACACGGGGCTCCCGAGGAGAATCAGCAGAGCTCTGGGATAACTCACCAGGCACATGACTCTCCTTAAGGGAACCATTCCAGGTCTGATGTTCCCACCAGGCTCCAGAGCTTTCTTCACATCTTTAGGGAGATGGACGTTTTCGTTGTACCAGATCTCAAACTCTGCAAAGCAAAGAGGGGCAATTAATGGCTGTAATTAATAACCCAAAAGACAGCATGGAGTGCTTGTCCCTATGGATCAGGCAGGATCTCAGTGCTCTTTAAACCCTCAGACAAAAGCTCAGAACTGCAGGATTTGGAGTTTAAATGATTGGAAAAGTGAATTTAAGGAGGCTGTTGGCTGTGCTGAGGTGGCCAGGAGGTGGTGGCCAGCTCTGGGGACAGTCCCCTGGCCATGAGAAGGCACTAGTCCTGCAGCCCCCAGAATCTCTTTGGAATGAGCAGCACGGCTGGGGCTCGGATTTCAAACCCACACACTCAGGCACAGCCATTTGCCATCCCATAATAGGCAGTGAGAACACACAGAAGGTGGGAATCACGTCCTTATTAATCCTGGGAATTTCCCACTCCTGATGTGGGTGAGCCCTGGATGTCTGAACAAACAGCAAACATCTGGAGCACCCAGAAATGCCAGACCTGGATCCCACAGAAAGCAGTGGCACAGCTGTGATTGGGGCCTGTTTATCCCTGGAATGATGGGAATGATTATCCCATTCCTTCCAGCCTGGGATGCTCTGATGGATCCAAGCTGCCCCCTGGCAAATGTTGCCATGTGCACAGCATCCAAATGTTTGGAAATCTGGAATTCCTACAGGGTCCAGCTTCCCTTAGAGGGGCAAATCCAGGGATACTGCAGGGGCAGTTTGAATGCACAGATTTCCATGTGGAGCCCAGCAGGAATTTGCAGGGATTTCCCAGGCAGAGCTGTGGCCAAGCTGCTTTTCCTGATGAGGCTGCAACTCTGGAAGCTGTAAATCACACAGGGACAGAGGAAATATTGGGAATCCAGAAGCAAAGCCCTATCCCAGGGCAATTCCTTAACCAGCAGCTCTATGAAATAAAATCAAGGATGAGATGTGAGGTCAGCAGTGTAAGATTCCTTGTAGGAGGCTTTTTTCCCCATGTAGGGGTGGGATCAAGAAGTAGAGGGATGTTATCTGGAAGAGAGGATCTGCAGCAATTCAAGGTTAGGTCAGAAAACCCCACCTGATTATGGATAAAATCCATTCTGGACAACAGAGAGTGATAATTTGGCAAGGGGCTGGAGGGACAGGACACAGGGAATGGCTTCCACTGCCAGAGGGCAGGGATGGATGGGAGATTGGGAATTGGGAATTCCTGGCTGGGAGGGTGGGCAGGCCCTGGCACAGGGTGCCCAGAGGAGCTGTGGCTGCCCTTGGATCCCTGGCAGTGCCCAAGGCCAGGCTGGACAGGGCTTGGAGCAACCTGGGACAGTAGGAGGGGATTGGAACTGGATAAGCTTTAAGTTCCCTTCCAATCCAAACCATTCTGGGATTCCATGATGTTTGGGAGTGCTCCAGTCTGGATTTGTCCCAGCTGAGCTGGAGGGTGCTGAGCCCTGGTGCTCTGTACCTGAGATGAGCCTTTTCCTGCACTTATCCAGGAGCTGCTGGCAGTACTGGATCTCTGCCTTCAGGTCCTGCAGCTCGGTAAAGCCAGCCCTGTGCTCCTCCTTCAGCCCCTTCAGCTTCAGGATGAGGGAGAACTCCTCCTCATCGATGATCACCTGTCCTTTCTCATCCATGTATTCTCCTGGAGAGGGAGAAAAGGAAGGGAAGGTCCTTGTGAGGGTGGAGAGCAGGGACAGGGCTCTGCAGATGTGACACCTGATGGAGGCTCTGACTTGGCTTTCAGGGGAAAAATTCCTGGGATTGTTTAGATGGGATATTGGGAAGCAATTCCTGCCTGGGAGGCTTGGGAGGCACAGGTTGCCAGAAGCTGTGGCTGTCCCTGGATCCCTGGAAGTGCCCAAGGCCAGGTTGGATTTGGTTTGGAGCACCCTGGGACAGTGGAAGGTGTCCCTGCTCATGGCAGAGGTGGAGTGGGAATGTCCTTAACAACCCTTCCAGCCCAAACCATTCTGGAATTCTATGACCACCCAAAACTGCTCTGGAACCTGGAAATCACATAGGGATGGAGGAAATATTGTGAATCCAGGGGCAAAGCCCTATCTGGGGGTAATTCCTTAACCAGCACCTCTAGTAAATTAAATCAAGGATGAGACCCAGATGAGACCTCGAAGCCCAGAGGTCCATCCCCTGTCCCGTGCTGCCTCCTCACCCTCCTGCCTCCTCTTCTGCTTCTGAGCCTCCAGAGCCTCCTTGACTGCCTCCATCTGCTGCTTGAGGCTGTTGATCTCCTGTACCACAGCATGGCTTCTCTTCTTCCTGGCTATGAGGATTCTCTTGTTGTCCCTGAAGATCCGGTGGATCTCCTGTCCAGTCGCCTTCTTAAACAGCTCAAAGGCCTCTTGCTTGGACACAGGGGGCCTGGAAGCAGACACAGACACAGAGCTCACTGTGCCCTGCCCTGCAGCTTGGAAAAGCTCTGCAAATTCTTCGAGTCCAAGCATCCCCCAGCACTGCCAAGGCCACCCCTGACCCATGTCCCCAAGTGCCACATCCACATGGATGTTAAATCCATCCAGGGATGGGGAACCACCACTGCCCTGGGCAGCTGAGCCAGGGTTGGAGAGCCTTTTCCAGGAGGAACATTCCCAAAATCCACCCTGACCTCCCCTGGCCCAGCCTGAGGCTGTTCCCTCTCCTCCTGTCCCTGTTCCCCAGGCTGTCCCCTCCTGTCAGGAGCTGTGCAGAGCCACAAGGTCCCCCCTGATCCCCCTTTTCTCCAGGCTGAGCCCCTTCCCAGCTCCCTCAGCCACTCCTGGGGCTCCAGCCCCTTCCCCAGCTCCATTCCCTGCCCTGGATATGCTCAGTGTGGTGAGGGGCCCAGAACTCCACTCAGGATTTGAGGTGTGGCCACCCCAGTCCTTGGGAATAGCCACAGCTGAGGTCTGATGGGGTTTCAGTGGGTTCCTTTGGGGTCCCTGGCACTGTTCCCATGCCAGCCCCAACACCCACTGTCCCCCAGGCTGCTCCCAGAATAAAGTTCTTCACCCTGACACCATATTCCTCAGGAGATGCCTCACAACTGAGTATTCCCTGGAAAGCTGGCCTTTCATGGGTTGGATTGTCACCAAAATCATGGATATTGTCCCTCCCTATTGTTAAACAAATGCCTTTGCTCTGCCCATGCTGCATTCCCAGCAGGATCAGCCCCCTCTGGAGCCAAACCCCCGCAGCCCCAAGCACTGGCCAGCTCCACAACACTGCTGCCATGCCTTGCAAGTCCTGCATGTTTTCCAAATCAGAATTCCAAGTGCCATTCCTGACTTTTCTGTGAAATGGCTTTGATGCCAGCATGTCCCTGTGAACACCTGGTGTTATTCCAATATGAGCCACCCCAGGCAAAAAAAGGAGAATGTCACATTCCACAGATACTCCTGGAGAGCAGGATGGGTTTGGGAGAAACAGAAAACCATGGAATGATTTGGGTTGGAAGGGACCTTAAAGCTCCAAGGCAGGTACCCAGAGGGCTCCACATTCCTCACTCCCAACTCCAGCTCCTGCCTTCCCTGGGTGCCCTCTTAAGGGCATTTTCCAGCTGCTCCAGGGCTGTGTGAGCTGGCACGGGGCTGTAAACAACAGCTCCTGGGCAGAGTGCCACAGCTCAGCTCCCAGCTGCTGGAATTGCTCTGGGATGTGCCTCCTGCAGCTGCAGCAGCCTGTCCTGCCAGCCCTGGGAACATCAGAGGGACACAAATCCTGTGTGGAGGGCATGGAAACACAGTGAGGAGCTCCAGGAAGGAATTCTGCAACAATTCACTGCTCTGCTGGAACCCACAAAGCACAAATCCTGGGCTGATCCTGGGCAGCAGGAGTGGGGGATTGTGCCCCTCTGCCCCTCAGGTGAGACCCACCTGCAGAGCTGCCCCAAATCCAGCAGCACAAGGACCTGGAGCTGCTGAGAGATCCAGGGGAGCCCCCAGAGCTGCTCCAGGGCTGGGAGAGCTGGGAATGTTCACCTGGAGAAGCTCCAGGGAGAGCTCAGAGCCCCTGGCAGGGCCTGAAGGGGCTCCAGGAGAGCTGGAGAGGCACTGGGGACAAGGATGGAGGGACAGGACACAGGGAATGGCTCCCACTGCCAGAGGGCAGGGATGGATGGGAGATTGGGAATTGGGAATTCCTGGCTGGGATGGAATTCCCAGAGCAGCTGTGGCTGCCCCTGGATCCCTGGAAGTGCCCAAGGCCAGACTGGAGCAACCTGGGACAGTGGGAAGTGTCCCAGCCCATGGCAGGGGGTGGAAAGGGATGATCCTAAATTCCCTTCCAACCCAAGCCAGCCTGGAATTCCATGATTCTTTTGCTCCATTTCCATTTCTGGCTGCATGTGAGGTCTCCCTGCAGTTTTCCCACTCACCAAAGGGATGCTACAGCTTTTAGAGATTAAAGAATTAAATGAATTAAAATAAAATAAAATAAAAATTAAATAAGTGAAGTTTTTAAATATTCAAGTGGGCAGGGCAGAGCTGGAAGCAGAGATGACCCCCACCATCACCATGTGGAGTTCAGGGTGTTCCCACCAACACTCTTGCCCTGTATTCCCTGCAAATCCCCAGATCTCTCCCCTTTGCCTTGGAGCTGCACTCAGGGAACACAATCCAGTGTAAAACACCCTCTGGAAAAAGGGATTTACTCCCTCCCAGGGAAAACCTACCTGAGGTTCTGGGAATCCTCCGAAGATGGGATTGTGGGCTCTTCATCACTGTCCTGGTCAGCTCCTTCCTCTTCCTCTTCCTCTTCCAGCTCTATGGTGGGTGTTTTGGATTGTGAGGATTCATCCTGATTTGTCTCAGGAGGAGGGCTCCTAGAGCTTTCCTTCCTGACAGGGGGAAAAACACAAACCAGATTCATTAATTCCTTCACCAGAGGCATCTGGAACCAAAACACGCTGAGGGTTTGGCTTTGCTGAGTTCCAAACTGATCTGAGGCAGCTTCTACCAAAGTTTCCAGGGAAACACCCACTGACAAGGAATAAAACCAGCCTTGTTCCCACAAATCCTTCATCCTCAGAGTACTGTGGGATACAGGCCAGGCTGGAGGAGCTCTCCTGAGAAGGGTCTCAAGGACAGCAGCCCCACCCTGCCCAGCTTTGGGCACAGCTGGACAAAGGCTGAGCCTCTCCAAAAGAAATCCCCAAGGATTTGATCCAAGCCCACTTTCAAAGCAAGCCGGGCTCCCTGCTCCTTTCCCTCCACAAACCCCTCCAGCTTAAACTGCAGGGAATAGAAACAGAATCATCATGGAATCATGGAATGGGTTTAGTTGGGACCTTAAAACCCATCCCAATCCACCCCTGCCATGGCAGGGACACCTCCCACTGTCCCAGGCTGCTCCCAACCCTGTCCAGCCTGGCCTTGGGCACTGCCAGGGATCCAGGGCAGCCACAGCTGCTCTGAGCACCCTGTGCCAGGGCCTGCCCACCCTGCCAGGGGATTTCTTCCTAAGGAATGGTGTGAGCAGGAGAGTGGGATTTGGATCACAGGCAGAGGAGTGTTTGCCACATCTCCTGGAGGCTCCCTAAAACCAGAACAGCACAGCAGAGCCCAGGGGTCACATGGACACCAAAGCCTTGGTGGTTCTTCTACTCCCTCCATGAGGGCTTTGGGGAAATGTCGGGGAGGAACCAAGCAGGGTTTACTTCTGTAAATTGAAGGCTCTTCCTCTGCTCAGGACTGGCTGGCTCCCCCTTCCCTCCCCAAATCTCTTCTGCTCCTCTGGCAGCTCCCTCCATTCCCTCCTCCATGGGCTGCACATTCCTGCCTGAGCAGGGCTGGGTCCTGCACTTGGGCCACCACAAGGATTGGGGACAACAGCTGGGACAGGAGGGGGACAGGAGGTGCCAGAGAACAGGGACAGAACAAGGGGAAACACTTCAGGTTGGATATTGGGAATATTCCTTCCCCAAAAAGGCTCTCCAGCCCTGGAACAGCTGCCCAGGGCAGTGGTAGAGTCTCCATCCCTGGAGGGACATAAATCCCTGTGAATGTGGCACTTGGGGACGTGGTCAGGGGTAGCCCTGGCAGTGCTGGAAAAATGGTTGGACTGAATGGTCTTGGAGGGCTTTTCCAATCTTGACAATTCCATGATTATCAGAGGTAAAGGAGAGGGGTGTGAGTGCTCAACTCACTCATCATCCTTCTTGGCTTCCCTCTTCCCACGAGGAATGGGGGATGTAGGAGGACTTCCAATCTCCAGAGTCCCTGCATCATCCTCCTGCTCCAAATCCTCGTCCTTATCAGTTCTTCCTTCCTGGAAACACAAATGTCCCATTTGTGCACACCATGGAAGCACAGAAACATGGAAACACAAGGGAAGATCCATTTGTGCACACCATGGAACACAGAAAGATGGAAACACAAAGGAATATCCATTTGTGCACACCATGGAAGCACAGAAACATGGAAACTCAAGGGAATATCCATTTGTGCACACCATAGAAACACAGAAACATGGAAACACAGAGGAATATCCCATTTGTGCACACCATAGAAACACAGAAACATGGAAACACAGAGGAATATCCCATTTGTGCACACCATAGAAGCACAGAAACATGGAAACACAAAGGAATATCCATTTGTGCACACCATGGAAGCACAGAAACATGGAAACACAAGGGAAGATCCATTTGTGCAAACCATGGGAACACAGAAACATGGAAACACAAAGGAATATTCCATTTGTGCACACCATGGAAGCACAGAAACATGGAAACACAAAGGAATATCCATTTGTGCACACCATGGAACACAGAAACATGGAAACACAAAGGAAGATCCATTTGTGCACACCATGGAAGCACAGAAACATGGAAACACAGAGGAATATCCCATTTGTGCACACCATGGAAGCACAGAAACATGGAAACACAGAGGAATATCCCATTTGTGCACACCATGGAAGCACAGAAACATGGAAACTCAAGGGAATATCCATTTGTGCACACCATGGAAGCACAGAAACATGGAAACACAAAGGAATATCCCATTTGTGCACACCATGGAAGCTGTCCAGGCCTCACCCAGCAGCTCCTCCATCCCCTGGAACAGCCTAATATGGGAATTAAAAAGTCTCTGAGAGCCCACAGGAGGATTTATGGATTCAGTGGGATTTATACACTTGGCTCCAGACATTATAAGGATTAAAAAAGGAATCTCAGCAGAGGCAGGACCTCACCTTCTCCAACCCAGTGACACACAAGTCACTTTGGAGATTGCATTGTACAGGACATTAAGGAGGCGTTAAAGTGAAAGGGGCACTGTTTAAATGGTATTTTGGGAAGCAATTTCTGCCTGGGATGGTGGCAAGGCCTTGGAATGGAATTCCCAGAGCAGCTGTGCCTGCCCCTGGATGTGCACAAGGTTGGATTTGGTTTGGAGCAACCTGGGACAGTGGGAGTTGTCCCTGCCCATGGGATGGGATGATCTTTAATGTTCCTTCCAACCCAAACCTTTCTGGGATTCTAATTCCCATTTCATGAATTATTCTGTGCAGATAAAGGGCCCAATGAATCCCTCTGCTGCCAGGAATTCCTCTTTGTTCATGGTGCATCTCTGCTCTGGACGCATTTGATGACAAACTCACCCCAGTGACATTTCTGAGTTTGATTTCCACAAGGAAAAATCTGCTTTATACAATTCCCATTTGGGCAGCAAAGGAGCCAGCTCTCAGGTGGATTCTGGGCCAGGACAAGCACCAGGCATTACCATGTCCTCCTGCTCCTTCTCCAAACGCAGATCAAAACTAGAACTGGACCCAGACTCAATCATGTATCTCAGCCCGTACTTGCTCCAGAGCCTGCTCTCCACTTCTTCCTCCTGTTGGCTGAGAAAAAACCAGCCCTTTAGGAACCTTTCCCACCTGTGATTCTTGCCAAAGCCACATTCCCAAACAAAAACCCCTTTTACCTGTGGTTTTATCCCTCAACACCCACCCTAGGCTTCCCATGATAACCTTTGTCCACTCCCTTCCTCTCCTTTCCCATGATATTCCTTTAGGGATCTTTAATATTAAAGCTTTTTGATGCTTATTTTAAAACTTTCCAGGACCTTTTAATGGTCCACATCAAACCATACTAGCTCTGCTCAGTCCCATCCCCTTGTTTGAACCTTTAATCCGGGTTGGAGGGGGCTTGGAGCAGCCTGGGATAGTGGGAGGTGTCCCTGCCCATGGAATGGGATGATCCTTAAGGTTCTTCCCAGCCCAAACCACTCTGAGATCTCTGGACTTACTTTAAAATCGCTTTGAACTGTCTAAACACCTCCTGGATTTGCCTGACATTCACAATCTGAGGAAGAGAGGTACAAAGCCATCAATTTTGGTATTAATTATATAAAGGAGTTCCAAATAAATCTGTTTAAAGGGTTTTATGATTAAGGAAAAGTCTCCTGGAGATGCCAAACCAGCAAAAATTGAATGAAAACAAAAAAACAGACTTAACAAAGCAAAAAGTAATTAAATTACAATTCTGTACTGGGTTTAGGGTGAAAAACAGCCTCTTCAAAAGACATTGTCACTGCTCCTCTCTTGGAGGAAAAGAGGATGGAATCAGGGTTTAAGTCTTTTTTTTATTACTTACATCTATTTCCTCAATTACTCCTCTGAGGTATTTCTGGACTTGGGATTTGATTTCTGCTCTCTGGGCTGTAGTCAGTGGGTTGTAACTCATCAAGGAATTATCTGTCTAAAAAAAAATATTGGAAAATTGAGAATCAGGGAGTTACAAACAGCTGAGGGAGCTGGTGAGAACAACAGGGACAAAGCTTTGGGCAGGTCCTGTCGTGGTGGGATAACGAGTGACAGCTTTAAACTAAAAGAGGGGGGATTCAGGATGGATTTTAGGCAGGAATTCCTGGCTGGGAGGGTGGGCATGCCCTGGCACAGGGTGCCCAGAGCAGCTGTGGCTGCCCCTGGATCCCTGAAGTGTCATGGACAGGGCTGGGAGCAGCCTGGGACAGTGGGAGGTGTCCCTGCCATGGCAGGGGGTGGAACTGGATGGGCTTTAAGGCCCCTTCCAACCCAAACCCTTCTGGAATTCTGTGATTCCACTGGTCTGGCAAACACCTGGAATTGCTGTGCCCATTTCTACTTGGGATTGTCATCACCTGACTTGGTAGGAGATGGGATTTGGGAGCAATAAACCAAGAGAAGAGCTTCAGGACTTTGGGATAAAGCCAAACTTCACCTCCAGTGGCTGGGGATTGAAATTCCAACTCCATCCCTCTGGCCTTCAGAGGTTTCCCTGAGCCTCAGAGGATGATGCTGGGAAAAGAGGGAAGGACACAACCCCACTGGACAACGAGTTCACTGCTCCTCACCAAGGTGTTCTGCATGATCAGCTCTTGCTTCAGGAGCTGGATCTCCTCCTCCAGAACCTTCACTGATGCCTAGCAGGGATAAAAAGGTTGAGCAAACCATTAAATTATATTGGAAGAAAAACAAACTTGCTAAAAGCAGCACTGGAGAATATCCCAGCTGGATCCCAGCTCCCTCAGGGAATCAGTGGGTTTGGAAATCAGTTTGATTTTCCTTTGATGAGCTCCCTATAGGAGAGTTTCTGCTGGGTCCTGCCTGCAGAACCTGCTCAAGCCATCTCTGCTTTTTAATGGGATGATTTCCTGGTCTGGAATTGCAGGGACCATCAAATTCCAGGATCTGGAATGTTATTATGTGGGAATCCAGATTTTCCCTCTGGCTGCCCTGGAAGGTCTGGGACCCTGGCAGGGTCAGGAACCCCCTGGATAGAGCCCCCAGAGACACTGTCTGTGATCTCTGTCCATGGAAAAGAGTTTTCAGTCTTACAGGATCAATTACCAGCTCTGAGTGTTTGATATCAGTAATAATTATGTGTGGCACAGGTGCAAAAGTCAAATTTTAGGATTCTAGATGAGGGGTCCAAAGGGGACAAGATGGAGGAAATTGGGTGTGCCTTGTCCTTTTTCTCCTTCTTCATGCCCTCCATGTCTCACTGTGGTGTCGGCATTTTTCTGTTGTTCAGGCTGGGGACACACTGTCCAACGTAGGTGACAGATATTGGCACGTTCTTGTAAATCCAGCCCAGGGAGTTTCTGGTATTGAATGTTTGTCACATCCCACTGAGGGCAGAGCCCCACACGCTGCCCTGCAGGACAGAGCTGGGCAGGGCAGCAGAACATGTTAGAGATCAACAGAATAAACAACCTGGAAACCAGCACAGACCAATTATGGCTTCTGCTTTGGCAGCGGGGCTGACAGACAGAGACTTTTACAATCTCAGAATCATCAATAGCACAAATTCCAGCATTATCCTGGAAGCCAAGCATTGTGCAGGCCTCACCTCTGCCCTGAACTCAGCAGCTCTGACAATAACTGGGACAAAGGGGAAACTTTTCTTTGCTGGATTTGACTGGATTTCTCCATACCATAGAATATCTTCAAGAATTCACTTTTTAAAATGTCTTTCCAGAAAGGTGAGCACAAAAATCTTGGGATTCAGGGAGAAGTGGGCACTGAGCTGCTTTGCATGACCTCTGGAGCAGCAAACCACAAAGCTTCCTTTCAATATCAGCTCCTCCAGTTTGGGTTTCACTCTGAAAATGCACTCTAATATCCTGTGATCCCTTCCTTTAAAGGATTTCCTTAATTACCCAAGTTTTCTAATTGTGGAGAAGCTGTTCTGTTACCAGCAGCAACAGGGATAAAGATGCAGGAGGAGTGGAGATGATTTCCCTCCATCCCAGGAGAATAATTCACCATAAAACCTCTCTGTCGAGAGCTGAATCTCATCAGAAAAATGTGGGATATACAGAAGAAAGAATTCCCAGGAAGAAGTGACCACTTGCATGGTTGTGCCTTAGATAAACCAGGGAACTACAATTAAAAACCTATAAAAAGGTTTAATATTGATCCATTTTATCACCCACCTAAAATCAGCAGTGTCAGCTTGGCTGAGGAAAGGTTATTTATGAAACTACCTGATTTTCTTCAGGTTTTTCAGGTTCTTCTCCTAAATATTAATGATAAAATTATAAATTCCCCTTCCTTACCTCCTGGTAGAAGGGCCCGTTGGGGACAGGCTCTGCTGTCACCCAGTTCATCCTGGTGGCAAAGCGGAGGGAGGACAGCTGCAAAACAAAGGTTTAAAATAAATAAAAATAGGATACTTCCATAAATATCATTTTCCTAATCTTTCTACTTAATTCTGTCAGACCCTAAAGCAGAAAAGATATAAAATCTGTAAATTGTTCCAGGTGATTCCTCCCTGTTTGCCACGGATCCAGCTCACACAGGGGGAATTTCACCCATTTGATCATTTACAAATTATTAGGTTAAAAAATTTAGGTTTAAAAATAACCTCTGGGAGGTTCTCTCCTCATTCCTGCTCCAGCAGGGAGCCAGCTCAGCTCTGCTGTGAAGTGGACCAATTCCAGGGAGTCCATGAGGGGATTTCCAATGGAAACACATTAAATAATAGTAGTAATAATAGTAATAATAATAGTAATAATGATAGTAATAGTAATAGTAATAGTAATAGTAATAAAAATAGCAATAATAAAAAGTAGTAATAATAGTAATAGTAATAATAATAGTAATAGTAATAATAATAATAATAATTATTCAATAATATTATTTCAATATTAATAATGATATATTCTTAATATAGTCATATTATATAATAATATATTATTACATTATTAGTATATTATTATATATTATATATTGTTAATAGTAATAACAATATTTAATATTACAATTATATTAATAATTAATATATTATTATTAATTATAAATTAGAAATTATACTTAATAACTATATTAATAATTAATATATTATTATATATTCAGTATCAATAACAATATCACAGTATATTATTATATAATAATGTTAATGTTAATAATAATAACAACAACAATAACAATAATAACAACAACAAAACAACAACAACAACAACAACAACAATAATAATAATAATAATAATAATAATAATAATAATAATAATAATAATAATATAGTATCTCTCCAGTGAGCTTCAATCCAAGCAGCTCCTGCTCTGCTCCAGGCTCTCATCTGACAGGAACTTGGATTTGAGCCCTGAACCAGGATTGGATTCTGCAGGAATTCTCCAACTCACCGTCTCTTCCACGTGCTCAGCTTCCCCATAGATGTTTGTCACCAGGACAGTGTTGCATTTTCCCCCTGGGAAAAAAAAAGTAATAAAAATAAAGGTAATAATATCATTTTGGGTGATTTTTTATGTTGTTGTTGTTATTTCCTTTCCTGCAGCGTGTTTTATTACGTGCTGATTAAAATACAGGAGAGACAAAAATGGACTTGTATATTTTTTTAACAAGGTTTCTCAAGGATAAATTCTTTAATTAAGAAATGATACTTAAGTTAGTTTTATTTTTAACTTGTGATTCGTAATGCGGATTTTTAAAATTTAATTACATAATATTATTTAAACTTGTGAAGGAGAAAATAAAGAAGGATTAGCTTTTGTCTTAAAACTTTTATCTTGTTTTATATATATTTATATATTTATTCTATAGTTTATAATATATATTATAACATATATATTTATATATATTTATATATTTGTATATTTGTATGTTTATATATTTACATATTTTTATATAAATACATTTCTATATTTCTATATATATTTATATATTTATATATTTATATATTTATATATTTATATATTTATATATTTATATATTTTAAAACTTTAAACTTTAAGTTTTCGACTATGTGATATTACACACTTATTTAAATTATGTACATATAATTTTAGTTTTATTATTTAATTTTTGGAAAGTTTTTTCTATGGTTTTAGGTTAAATGCAATGTTTTCTTGGGGATCAGTGTCTGTTAACAAAGAAAATCTAAAATTTTTAGCAACAAGGGCTCCAACAGAATTCCAGATTGGTTTGGGGTGGAAGGGATTTAGGGATCATGCAGTGCCACCCCTGCCATGGCAGGGACACCTTCCCTGCTCCAGGCTGCTCCAAACCCTGCCCAGCCTTGGACACTTCCAGGGAACACCCACAGCTCCTCTGGAATTCCAGCCCAGCCAGGAATTCCTTCCCAATATCCCACCCAAGGCTTCTTTCAGTGTAAAGAAGCACGAAGGACACACCAGAGTGAAACTGTTCCTCCAAAGGGCACAGGAATGGGCACAGAGTGACTAAAAAGGTGAAGTTTGTGTCTCGTGGGAATAAAAACTCTGAGTCCCAGGTGTTGGTAAAGATTCTGTTTCTCAGGATGCCCCTGGATCCCTGGAAATGTCCAAGATTGGACACTTGGATCACCCTGGGACAGTGGGAAGTGTCCCTGCCATGGCAGAGGAGGAATGGATGATCCTTAAGATCCCTTCCAAGCCAAACCATTCCAGCATTCCCTGATAAAAAATGACCTTAGGACTTGCCGTGCCCATGGAAAGAGCAGCTTTGCAGGAGCTGTGGGCACTCCCAGTGTTGGAACTCAAAATGTCCCTCAGACACTTTTAGAGGTTCCAGGCCTTGCACAGAAGCATTTGAGACCCTGGCAGGCAGCTGCAAACAGCTGTGATTTTGAGTTTGAGCCATGGGATGAGTTACCAACTTTGGAGGTGGAACAAGCACTCACAAAGGGTTAGATGGGATAGTAAAAGTAGTTACAAAACAGAGGGAAATTTTTTAGTATTGTACAGGGGGGTTTTAGCACCTGTCCAGGGGGTTTTTACTTTGTACATGGGGGTCAGCAGTTCTAAGATGGAGGAAAGTGGGCTGATCCTGTTCTTCCTCCTTCTTCTTCCTCACCTCCATGTTCTTGGTGATGTTGGCACTCACAGATTGGTTTAGAGTAGAAAAGCACTTTGTAATATAGGTAGTAGGTATTGGGGAAAACTGTAAACATGGAAACGTAATATATCATATAAAAGATAGCAGCAGCCCTGGGTGGGGAGGGAGAAGAAGACACAGACAGAGAGGATGTCAGGGTGTGTGTGTGCCTCTGCCTTAATACTGAGCAAACCACAGCAGCCAGAGAAGAAAATCTTTTAGATAATTTGCAATAAATTGCCTTGAGACCGAACAGCAAGAGCCTGCGCAGTTTTTCTTTGGAAGCACGGCTTGGAGGAGGAATTTCACCACCACATGGGACCCCAGAGCAAGGCTGGGATTCCCACATCCCAGCTCTTACCCAGCGAGTCCTTGAGGACGTGGGTGAGTTTGCTCTGCCTGAAGGGGACGTGGTCCCTCTTGGGATCGGCCAGGGCGATCACCAGCTGCTCCAGGAACGACAGGGACTTGTTGATGTAGGAGGCTTCCACCCTCACCTGGCCCTCGGACTGCAGTGGGGGCAGGAGGAAACAGCTCTGGTCACACACAGGACAGGGAGGCTTCCTCAGCAGGGCTGATGTCGTTTTGATTTTGGACGTCACAGAATCAGGGAAATGCTGAGGTTGGTTGGAAAAAGCTCTTGGATTGGCCCAACCATTCCCCCAGCACTGCCAAGGCCACCCCTGACCATGTCCCCTATGCCACATCCACATGGATGTCACATCCCTCCAGCGATGGGAGCTCCACCATGCCCTGGGCAGCTGGGCCAGAGTTGGAGAGCCCTCTCCAGGAAGGAATATTCCCAAAATCCAACCTGAACCTCTCCCTGAAGCCATTTCCCCCTGTCCCTGTTCCCTGGAGCACAGCCCAACCCCTCCACTGTCCCCTCCTGTCAGGAGCTCTGCAGAGCCACAGGGTCCCCCCTGATCCCCCTTTTCTCCAGGCTGAGCCCCTTCCCAGCTCCCTCAGCCCCTCCTGGTGCTCCAGACCCTTCCCAGCTCTGTTCCCTGCCCTGTTTTGACAAAGGGACCCAAAGGAACCTGAGGAGCTCCCACCACTCACCCCTGTCTTGCTCAGTCTCTCAGACCCTGCCAGGTCAATGAAGGTGATTTTAGATTTAAGGCATTTGTGATTGGTGTAATCTCTGGAACGACACTGAGGGAGAGGGGAAGAGAAACTGCACTTAGGGGCAGGCAAAACTGAAAACCAGGAAAAAACAGGCTGCAAAGTTCCCCTTGGATCCCTAGAAAGTCATTTCAATCCATAGGAACAGGGCAGGAGCTCTCACCTCAATGTATATGGTGAAGATGCAGTGGGATCTGGAGGAATTCTTATTCAGGCTGTGCTCTGATATCACTCTGTTGGTCTCACCCTGCCAACGAAAAGAAAATTCCAGGCTCAGCTCATGGAATTGTGGCTTTTTGAGGATAAGCAGGCAATATCTCTGTGGCTCTTTCCATTTCCTGATGACTGGAAAAGCAAAGAGCTCCCCAAGCTTCAAATGGCACTGAAAATTCCCACAGGTGTGATGGGCATGGATCTGAACCTCTGCCAGGAACACAAAGGGATGTTGGAAGGAGCCTTAAAGTCCATCCCACCCAACCCCCTGGGGCAGGGACACCTCCCACTGCCCCAGGCTGCTCCAAGCCCTGTCCTGCCTGGCCTTGGGCACTGCCAGGGATCCAGGGGCAGCCACAGCTGCTCTGGCAATTCCATCCCAGCCCCTCCCCACCCTCCCAGCCAGGAATTCCTAATTCCCAATCTCCCATCCATCCCTGCCCTCTGGCAGTGGGAGCCATTCCCTGTGTCCTGTCCCTCCATCCCTTGTCCCCAGTCCCTCTCCAGCTCTCCTGGAGCCCCTCCATGCCCTGCCAGGGGCTCTGAGCTCTCCCTGGAGCTTCTCCTCTCCAGGGGAACATTCCCAGCTCTCCCAGCTATCATCACCCTCCTTCTGCTCTTTAAAAAGAAGAGGAAGCTCCTGCACATTCCAGAGCTCAGGACACCACTGGGTCATTAAAAAGGCCAGAGAAATATTTTAAGGGCAGCAGATGGTTCTGGGTGAGATCCACCTCCTGCAGCCAGATCCAATTCTTTATCCCTTTTTTCCTCACCAACTGAAGCATCATCCATGAGGAAAAGATGCTGATCCCTGTAATCAAAGTCCCCTCACAAACCTCTCACCCTGAACAGCTGTGGTGTGAGTTCCAACAGCACCACGATCACCTCATCTTTTCTTGGAGCATCTTCCAGAATCCCTGAACCAGGGACATTTTCCCTGAGACCAAGAGTTTCCAGTTTTTCTCCCCACCACCAAGACGGGTTCAATGGCTGAACTTCCTCCCACCATCTCAGCCACCCACTCCTGCTTTTCCACCTCCTCCTTCAGCCAGCAGCCACAACCACGGGATTAAAAGGAATATTTGGGTTGTCTTGCCTCAAAAAGGAGATGCAGGCCCTCCTCCTCGTGGCTGACAGGGTGGATGGAGAGCCCCTTGACATAAACCCCCTGAGGACCATCCATGACCGCCAGCTGGTTCTCCTTGCACCCCCGGCCCAGCGCCGGCGCCAGCAGGTCAAACAAGGCCTCGTTGTAGATCTCCAGGTAGGAAATTCGGACAGTCACCATGATATTGAGGAATTCTGCAGCTGATTTGAAGATCTGCACCAAGACAAAGGGTTCGTGTCCATTCGCAGGGAGAGTTTTCAGTTATTTGTGGCTTTTCGGAGAAGATATTTGGGTGGATGTTGATGTAAGATATAAACGGGTGTGGTATAAGGAGATGTAAGATATAAACAGAGAAGATGTAAAATATGTCTTAAGATATAAAAAGAAGATATAAAGATATGAAAATATATAAAGGTACATAGATATAAAGATATATAAAGATATATGAAGATACAAAAAGATATATATATTAAAAGCGACTGTGGGCAAAGAGTTGCTGGAAATTCCTTCTGGCCTTGTCCTGCTTGGAAATCTAAGAATGTGAAATGAGAAGGGTATAAAATATAATTAGGTATCAAATACAAATAAATACATTGAGGTGTGTACAAGACATCAATTTCTGTAATATAGAGATATTGACGGAGAAATAGCTCTGAACCGCTCCAGGAGTGTGTGGGGCTAAATCTGAGCTCTGAGGGCTCAGCTTGGATTTGGATTTAATGATCAATTTAATGAGAAGCATTAATGAGAAGATTTAATGAGAAGCATAGAATTCTGGAATGGTTTGGGTTGGAAGGGACCTAAAAACCTATCCCATTCCACCCCCTGCCATGGCAGGGACACCTCCCACTGTCCCAGGCTGCTCCCAGCCCTGTCCAGCCTGGCCTTGGGCACTGCCAGCTGCTCTGGGCACCCTGTGCCAGTGTCTCTGTGCCTTAGAGGTGTTTTTAAATGATTTTATGATCAGTTTTTAACCTGATTTCACACAACGACAGTTTGGAAACACCTCTTTTGAAGGCTTGGCGACATTAGGGGAGCAGCAAGACCTCAAACAGGAACTAAAGGGGAACAAGCTCTGAAAATGACAATAAAACTCCCTTATTCTGTAACCATCATCTCTGGGGTAAAATGAAGGGGAAAAAAACACATTCATTGTGTTCAAACACTTTTCTGTCAGCAAGGGGTGATAGAAGAGTGCTCCTTGGTGTTTCTCCCTCCTCTTTTCCCAGGCAGCTGCAGTCAGTACCTGCTGGATAGCTCTGGGGATGATCCCTCTGTTCCTGTACTCAGAGGCTGTTCCTGTCATGGTGTAAGTTTTGCCAGCTCCAGTTTGCCCATAGCACATGATGGTGCCTAAAAAGAAAAAATCCAAAAACAAAAGCATAAACTCGGGAGGGAGCCTCCAACAGAACAGCAAATGGCTCTCTGCTCAAATCCAACCTCTTGGTGTGATCAAAAGAATAATAATTGCAATAAATCACCACTGTAGCCCTGCAAAGCTCTGGACACCAAGCCCTTTGCCACGGTCTCATAAACCATTTCCTGGGAAGTGTTGTGGAGGAGCCCATCCAGCTTGAAGGACCAGTCAGTCTGAGAGTTATTCACAGCTCCTCCCCTGGGACTCTTCTGGATGTAGATTTCGATGCTCTGCAAGCCAAAAAGAGAGGGAGATCAACTCAAAAGCCCTGAGGGTTTTCAGCAGTTCGGGACCTGGGGTTAAATAGAAAAGGGAGCACAAATAACAAGAGTTATTTCACTGTTCTAGATGTCCTGAAAGTATCTGGTAATGCTCTCAAATTTCTGGTGACAAATATGCTAAATAAAAGGAAATGTGGTTAAGCTCATCTGTTCAACTTTCAGCGATTTTGTGCCTCAGGGAAATTAATTAAGGAAGAGAAGGCAAAGGGAGGAATTTGCATAAGAGGGGATGGAAATAGACTGTGCCAATTTGTGGTTAGCACTGGGAAATCCTCATGGATCAGCCAGCCTCAGTCCTTTGGAGGCTTTTCCTGGTGATTGTACCACAGGAATTGTGTTTTCCGTCCTCACACTCTGCTGTGACAAAACCACTGCCAAGCAGGAACACAAAAACCAGCACCCCCAGAGCATTATCCATGGCCTCAAGGGATGGGAAAAATCCTGGTTTTCCATTGGAAAAGCTGGAGCCAAACTCCAAACCTTTCCCACCTGCAGTTTCTTTGACTCTACCTTGTTGTCTGAGCCAAGCCTGATCATATCTTGGGCAAAATGAGCTGTTGGCTTGACCCGTACGAATGCCAGGACTCGCTTTGGTGCTCTAAGGAGAGAGGAAAAACAAGGAAAAGAATCCCTGAAATTTACATTATTTCTCAGCAAAAGGTGAGGATGAGGAGTCAGAATTCAAAGTGAAACATTGGCAATTATTTGCTGCAGCTTTTATTCCCCATGAAAAGCACTGCGGGCAAAGAGTTGCTGAAAATTCCTTCCAGCCTGGTCCTGTTGGAAATCTTGAGGATGTGGAAGAAGAAAAGTCAAAATGATTCTGGTTTCCTGAAGTGCTGCACAACACCAGTTTTCTTCCTCTCAGCCTTGGGAAGCAAAATCTTTGCAGGAATGGGAGAGGGATTTTTCTTTTGTCACGGGCAGAGTTTTAATTTTAAAAATAATCTAAATTCCCAGTGAACAGCTGATTTTCAATTTGTTGGAGGAAAATATCCACAGGCTGGAGGATCTGCTGAGTAAAACCCCCACGAGGAAGCTCCAGCTGCTAAAGCCCCTTGCACTGAGGATTTTTAAATCCCTGGAAATGTGTAAATCCCACATTTTTCCTCAAACCCTTCCTGCAGACAGCCCATGCTCAACAATTGTGGAATAAGCAGTGACAACTTCTGGTTTGGGAGAAAATCTTTGGGATTTCTGGTGCCTCCAGGATGTTTGGGACCTCTCATACTTGAGCTGCTGTAAAATGAATTGTGGGGGTTGGAGCTGAGCCAGGATTTGTTGGGTTGAAAGCAGGGTGTCAGGAACAAAGTTCCCCAGGCAACAAAATTAAAAACCACAAAAAACCTGGTTTTCCTGCTTGTAAAAAAAATCTCCATGACCTTAACAAAAAAGACTTCTCCCCCTAAATAAACTTTTAAAAAAAGATTATTCGAAAATAATAAACTAACTAAAAAATTTAGGGATAATTTAAAAAAAAAAAAAAAAAAAAAAAAAAAAGGGGAGGGAAGAGAGCTATTCTGAAAGGTTTATTTTAATTCTCACTAATTTTTTTCCTTTTAATCACTATTAATAAAATTTTCTTTGTACCCTTTTGAAAGTTTTAAATCTATTTTACCTTTCTCCTAATCCTATCTCACAGTAAAAAATAAATACACTAGGAATTAACCAACACTAAAACCCACCCCACACTCATCAACACATCAATTTAAAAATTTTAGAATTTAAAAATATCATAACTGGACAAATCTAAAGCCCTGCACGTGGGAACATTTGGGGGATACCTGTGTCTTTTACCCTTGGGCTCTGTGTCAGAGAGCAGGAGGGAAATGATGCTCTCCTCGTCCTGGTCCTCATCCTGCTCCTGCTCTTGGTCTTTCTCCTGCTCCTTCTCCTGTTCCTGCTGCTGGGATTTCAAAAAAAAAAAAAAAAAAAAAAAAAAAAAAAACCAAAAAAAAACAAAAAAAAAAAAAAAAAAACCCAAACCCATTGTTGGAGCAGTTGGGAATCATTTCTCCAAAGCAAGAAAGCAGAAGAGAAAGGAGGAAGGGAAAGGAGGAAGGGAAGGTTTTTTTGGAAAAACTCCACTAGGAATCAGAGAGAGGACAAATTGTAAAAAAGTGACATTTTCCTTGCTGCAACAGCGCCCTTTGTGGGGCTTTGCACAGCTGGGGAGAGCAGCGATCATTGCTGGGAGTGGCTCTTAACACCGGGGGATGGAATTCCCAGAGAAGCTGTGGCTGCCCTGGATCCCTGGCAGTGCCCAAGGCCAGGTTGGAGCAGCCTGGGGCAGTGCGAGGTGTCCCTGCTGTCAGAATCTGTGCTATGGATGATTTTGAGATTGTAAAAAGTCTCTGTCATTCTGCCCCGTTGCTAAAGAAGAAACCATAATTCGTCTGTGCTGGTTTTCAAGGTTGTTTATTCTGTTTATCTCTACCATGTTCTGCTGCCCTGGCAGGTCTGGGACCCTGGCAGGGGTTAGGAGCCCCCCTGGACAGAGCCCCCAGAGACACTGTCTGTGATCTCTGTCCATGGAAAAGAGTTTTCAATCTTACAGGATGAATTACCAGCTCTGAGTGTTTGATATCAGTAATAATTAAGTGTGGCACGGCTGCAAAAGTCAAATTTTAGGATTCTAGATGAAGGGTCCAAAGGGCACAAGATGGAGGAAATTGGGTGTGCCTTGTCCTTTTTCTCCTTCTTCATGCCCTCCATGTCTCACTGTGGTGTTGGCATTTTTCTGTTGGTTCAGGCTGGGGACACACTGTCCAACGTAGGTGACAGATATTGGCACGTTCTTGTAAATGCAGCCCAGGGAGTTTCTGGTATTGAATGTTTGTCACATCCCACTGAGGGCAGAGCCCCACACGCTGCCCTGCAGGACAGAGCTGGGCAGGGCAGCAGAACATGTGAGAGATAAACAGAATAAACAACCTGGAAACAGCACAGACCAATTATGGCTTCTGCTTTGGCAGCGGGGCTGACAGACAGAGACTTTCTACCATCTCAGAATCATCAGTAACTCCAACACCTGCCATGGCACTGGGTGGGTTTTAAGGTCCCTTCCCACCCGAAGCACCCCAGGATCTGGCAGGAATTACCGCTGGTTCAATCTCTGCTTTGGATGCAGAACTTTCAGTCTTTTCCAGCCCCTCGGAGCTCTCCTGCTCCTCTTCCTCCTGCCAGGGAAAAACAGCCCCAGTCCCAGGTGAAAAACACAGGGGATGACCCACACATCTCCACAGCCTTGCGAGCAGGAGGCTCTCCTTCCCACAGGTCAGATTTTGGGAGGACTTTGGGGAAAACCCATCAGGAAGGGCTGGGAGCTGTCCGGGGAAGCTGGGGCTGCCCATGGATCCCGGCAGTGTCCCCGGCCAGGCTGGACATGCGGCTGGGAGCACCCTGGGCAGAGGGTGGAATTGGATGATCCTAAAGGATCCCCAACTGCATCACGCCGTGTTTTCCTCCAGCGCACCTCCCGAGGCGCCACGCCCGCGGGGATGGGGGCGATGCCTGGGGGCTGATGAGGGGCTGGTGCGGGGATACGACCTCCGATCACCCCCTGAGGAGGCGAGGGTGACCCCATCGGGCATCCCCTGGGCTCTGCCCCACCTGCGACCCCACTTGAGACAATTCCGGCGCGGCGTCCGGGGTCGCCATGGCAGCGCCCACTTCCGGGTTCTCTATGGCAACGGCCACTTCCGCTCCCTCCCGGAAGTGGCCCCCGCGGACGGCGGCCGGGCGGGGCCAGGGCGCGGCGGGGGCGAAGCGGGACGGGAGCGACCGGGACGATGCTGGAAGCGGCGGCGGCGGCGGAGCCGGAGCTGGATCCCGAGGATCTGGTGCATTTCTCGGTGGGAGACCTGCCGAGCCGCGGCTATGGAGTGATGGGCGAGATCCGGCGGCAGGGAAAGCTCTGCGATGTGACGCTCAAGGTGCGGCCCGGCCCCTCGGGGTGGGGACCACCGGAGCCCTGAGGGGACCGAGCGGGGCTGAGATGGGGATGAGGGACCCTGGTCCTTCAGGGGGGCTGAGAGACCTCGAGGGATCCCCCCGGCTCCTGAGCGGGGACCCCCGGTCCTTGAGGGGACACTGAGGGGGGACCTCGGCCCCTGAGGGGTCGCGGGTTTTGGGGAGGGGGATCCATTTGGGGGATGCTGAGGGGGCTCCATTTGGGGGATGCTGAGGGAGCTCCCTTCAGGGGGATGCTGAGGGGGCTCCCTAAAGGGGATGCTGAGGGGGCTCCATTTGGGGGATGCTGAGGGGGCTCCATTTGGGGGATGCTGAGGGGCCTCAGCTTCTGGAGGGGGCTCTTGAGGAGCCCCCAGACCCCTGAGGAGGGACCCCAGCCCTTACCAGAGGGGGCTAAGTGCCCCCCAAGTCTCTTTCCCAGAGGGAAGGAGGCAGCTGGAGCTCCCCCAGACCCCTTTGGTGGGGGGTAAAGGGGACAGGAGAGGGAACTGAGGTTCCCCCTTCCCACGGGTTTGGCAGCAGAGACAGAGCTGAGACCTCTCCCAAAGCCCCTTTGTGGGGTGTCAGGGACCTTCCCAGCCCTGCGGGGTCTGTGGATCCAGGTTTAGGGACCTTTCCCTAGGGAACCATTATTCCCTTATAGGAAACCCCCCTCCTGAGCATTCCAAAATTCATCCCTGAGCGTGGTAAGTGCTGAGGATGGTGTCCCTGGCTCTGCAGGGCTGGCAGACTGTCCTGTGGCAGGCAGGAGCTGCTGGAGTCCCTCAGGATTTCTGAAATCCCTCAGGATTGCAGAGTGGCAGGAGCTGTTGAATCCCTCAGGATTTCTGGAATCCCTCAGGACTGCAGAGTGGCAGGAGCTGCTGGAATCCCTCAGGATTTCTGGAATCCCTCAGGACTGCAGAG